GGCTATTCAGTAGCCTCCTTTGCTGAGCTGCATGTCCTGTTGGCCCCAAGTCTGTGAGGGGGTTGTGCCACACAGCAAGGACCTCTCCCTTGGTCCATCAGGCTCAGAGCTGGAGGTGTCCTTCAGCCTCTCTGAGGGTCTCTGCCTGACTGCCCCCAGCTCACATTCAGTCTCACTAGTCCTGCACTTAGACCTAGCTGACATTTATTTGGCGGTACTGCCGAGGACTTTACTGACCAAAGAGTGTAGGGACAGAAAATGTGTTTTCTTACACCAAGCTTTTAGGAACCTGAACCTTTCTTTGCATCTGAAATGGAAACAGCAGACATCAAAGCTAAATATAAGTAGAGAACAGCAGTTCAGTAATTGTGAGATTCATAGCAATAGTGCTGAAAAAGTGTCAAGTTGCCTATTTCTGTTCTAGATCAAGCTCAGGACAGGCCTGCAGGTTTTTCAGTATTCCGCATGACTATAAGAAATGTGATTTGCCCCATTTCAGCATTCCCTTACTTCTCTGATTTCAGAATTCAGCTTCTTACATTGTGTTTTCATTTGAGACAACTTTTAATTGAGCTGAATGACCTCTGAGAAAATTGAAATGTCTCTCATTGGTCCAAATGGGTCCTAGACTGAGTTTGCCTTTCATACACAAAACCAACTGTTTTCTTCTGCTCTTGGGCTTGCACAGAAGCTAAAAAACTAAACCAAGCAGAACCAAACAAAAGAACTCTGAGGATCTCATCAACAGTATTTGCTTTGCACATGAACAGTAATTCTTCACTAGCACATACTTCCAAGAATTTTTTTAAATGTCATTCATACATCATGTGCCCTAACAGACAATAGTTGTTCCAGAAAAGCTGTTGCTTTCTATTAGGTCAATGATCGGTGAACTAAACATTTTCTACTTAGGCCTTCATATGATAAAAGCCTAAGAGCTTTGAAGGAGCCATTACAGACTATTGCCTAGAAGAAATATCCATTTGAAAATTCAGCAATTATATACTTCTATAATAGCGTGTAAAAGGAGCTCTGGACCCATTATGGGTTATTGAGTAAATAATGTATTTTTAAAAGTGTCTAAGTAATTTATATGATAGCCTGTATTGGCAGCAAAGAGTGATTGTAGACTAAACATTCTGTCTTTCTTTTTTTTAAAAATCTCATTTAAATCCCTAAATAGCAATTAAAAAAAGAAATCACTGATGCAGTTTCAGTATTTCTATAGTAGTCAATAGCTAATGGCTCTGACTTCACTGCATTGAGGCTGCCATTTTGTGCTGAGCCAGTTTCCTCTGGTCTGACTTACTTTTTTTGTCTTGATTGTTTAAGACAGGACGCTTCATTATCAAATATAATATAGAAGTGTCCAGGGGCCTTCTGGAGGTCAGACTCACAGTCATCAGACCTACCCATAATCAGGAACAGCCACTATCCAAAAGAGTGACAAGCTCAGAAAGAGAAGACAGGAAGCTGTCAGTCCCCATTTTGAGGAAAAAATGAGGCTTGGAGAGAGGAAATATGTTGTCTGAGATCATGCAGGGGACAAAGAACCTCTGTCTCCCAAGACCAACTTTAGTTTCCCTGCTTTATGTTCGGACTTTCCATGGAGAGGCACAGTCTGAGCTCCTCTTTGCTGCAGATCCTCAGTGCTAACACAAACTGCTCCTGTATCAGGTGACCACAATAGTCTTGCTGCAGACCAGGGCACTCAGCACTTTCAGGCACAGACCCTGGTCAACACAGATAGGAAATTATTGCAGCTCAAAAAATTTATATTGCAGCAACAATGTGCTATGAAACAGATGTGCTGGAAAACAAACTTGTTTTCTGCTGTTAAGTGTGGAATAAGCTTTCCTTAGTCCTCCTCTATATTTATCATACTGCTTCCTGCCATAGCAGGCGTAGTCACCTCTGATAATGTTCTGTCAAAAATTATAAGAATAAGTTGAAACAATTGTTTTTTAAGAAAGATTGCAGCTTGAGCTGCACTGAATTTTGGAGATTATCTTGAGATCCCCAAACACCTGTTAGACCAAGCAACCTTCAGTGCCCCAGGGTCAGTACTGTACTTATGTACTACATGTACATTACAATATTGCAGTGGGCCTGGCTTGAGGGGACAAAAGTAAAACAATTTTCTGCCTGTGCTGATGCTCCACCTTAACTCTTTTGGATGGTACTCTCCCTGGCATAAATTTGAGACAAAGTCACTTAATCTGGTGTTCTGGAACCCGCAGGTCCAGACCTGTGTTCTAACTCACTTTGTACATGAAACACCCTAACAGTCAGCAGGAAGTAGGCATCTGTTTTCCATGACTGCCAGGAGTTCTGCTTTCCCTTTTTAGAGGCTACATAATGCCTACCCCTGCATATGCATGTTCAGAGCATATCGTGTGCTTCCCATAGCTAGCTTGCTCTTCAGTCACACCTCAAGAACATCACCTTTAGACCTGAATTTGAATGCATCTGTTTAATTTCTCATTGTTTAAGAAAAGTGGTTCTGATGCAATGAATGAAAATGTGGCATTTTAGCTCCCCCCGGGAAATGATAAGAGGTAAGTCCCTGTAGTGAGGCTGATGGCACATGAAAGTTTATTTTTCACGTGTTTGGAAAGACACACAGAAGAAAAGAAATACAAGGGTACCAATGAGCACATAGTTCAGAATACAAAAAAGAAAGGGAGTGACTTAATGTAGAAGGTAGGTAGGTAAGGTAGTAGGAAAAAGGTGAAGTTAAAAAAAGAAATAGTGAACGACTCATAACAGAGACAGAAATAAACAGAAGAAACAAGATGAAAAGCATAAATACATTTAAGTTGTATTTGAGCAAAACATAATGTCTAAGAAAAGCAATTGGTCTCTCTCATGGCTAGACTGTATTTGTCACTTAGGAAAGGACAGTTATCTGTTGGGATAATTGACTGAGTGGTGATAAAGTACCTATCACTGAAGTAATTCTATGACAGAGAAATCAAAAATCAGGGGAATGCTGTCAGGTATTGGATGATCCCCTCCAGCTCTATTTTCTATGAACTCAGCATCTCAAAGTGTATGAGTGGGAGCAGAACCTCAGTTGTGTGTTTATGGGAAACCTATTTCTGGCCTGGTCACCTCCTTGCTGAAATTCTCTAAGATCTCAAAAAGTAAACAAGGCACGTATTTGGAGATGAAGTCTATGAGGAAAATGAATACATAGGGGGAAAAAAAGAAAAGGAACTGGTTGATCTGCAGACAACATTTTCTTCTGACCTATGGACCCAATGCCAAAACCCTTACATTATCTTCCTCATACTGAAGAGCCCCATCCTGCAACAAATACATGGTTTGGCTTAGATACAACCCCAAAGCCCTCACAACTTGAGATAAAAGATCCCAGGCTCTTTCTTCCAAGAACAGAATTATTAATTGATCCACTGTGCTTCAACTCTAAATAATTCTGTTCTCCATTTCAAGGACAATTCCTCCTAATTTCAGCCAAAATCATTCTTCATTTCCTTGCCTAACTTCTCATGAATGTTGTGTGATGAGAGGACACAGGTATGAAGAGGTCTGGGACTATTTCAGACTGGTGATTACTTCTACGCAAACCACCAGTTACCGTTGCACTACAAAAATTAGTGCAAACCAGGCTTTTAAAAGCAAAGTCTGGAGAGGCATCACATTGAGGCGAAAGAAAACTTCATTCTCCTTTCGTTTTGAGTTTCTCAGGGCTTGCCAAGAGGATCTAGCAAAGCCGTGGGCTAATGTCAGTGGTCCTCCCTTGAAGGCAGGAGACTTGGATTGCTCCAGTGCATATATACATATACAGCATAGGAAGGCACGGGCCTTTAAAGTGACCACTCCTTCCCTGTGCAAATCTGCCCTGTGTTCTTTTTTTACACTCTGGGCCACCAAGTACGATGCTCGTAACTGGAGGAAACTTTTTTTTCCCTGACAGTACTTTGGAGACATTAGATTCATTACTTGAGGGTGTGTATGGGATTCTGGAAGTACAATTTATGTCTGCTATGCTGTGAGATCTTTGGTATGATATTGACTCACTCATTGGCACCTGAGAGAGGTTTGGGGAATTCAGCAAGCTTTCAACAATCCAGTTTGAGAGATTAAACAGAATTACAGCTCACTCAGGTTTGTCCTAATTTTATTAGATTTTCACCATTTCTAATTGCATAAACATATGCAGCCAAGTATACAGATGGGGACTGGGATGATGTACAAGGACACTCAAGCTCTATAGTCAGCTAATTGGTGGACTAAGTAATAGGGCACTTGGAAAGACTGGTATTTTTTTCAGAACATTTCAGGGTAAAATCCTGTCCCCATTTAAACTGAGGCAATCAAGATAGGAAAGATTTTAGCCATAGATTTTGCTGAAACTGGAGGAAGAGATGAGAGGAACTATCTGATGCAGAAAATATCCAGGATGAAGGTTGTTGTTTTGGGCAAGATTCACTACTTGTTTGTCTTGGAAATAGGAAAAAGATAGAATGTCTCAAAAGCATAGAACTGGCCTGATCAATATGGTAACATCAGAAGGTTTTTGATCAGGGCTAAACAAAAGACAAACAATGGTTAACCATTTCAGATATTACCGGGACAAATGAGAAGTCATTTTGTGCGAACATTGTTATTGTTAGCAAATGCCAAACTGTAATGTTGTCAGCAATATTTTATACTTTGTTTTAGAAAATAAATCTGTTTTTGCTATGGATAGGAGATCTCTTGGGCCCCAAGTTAAAGTATGCTATGGCTATTTTTGGTCAAATGGTACCAGCTGAGGTACTGGCATGGCTGTTTATGAAATAAGATTGCTGTCCATATTTGTTAAGGGAATGGTGCTGTAGACTTATTTTCTACAATCAAGACAAAAAGAGGGGTGGGAGGGAAAAGTCTACACTCAGGTTTTTGCTCTTGGATATCCTTTATCTCTGATAAAGTATGTTTTCACTATGAAATTCATTCTGAATGAAGGGACATTCAGCTATCTTCACTTCCAGCAGACAGGACACAACTCTCAGACTGAATTAGGCCCGTTTGGATAGGTTTTTTAAAATCTCCATGAGTAACAAACAGAGAAGACTTTTTCCCTCACACTGGCCTGGACTGAACACTTGGTAGGTAAGTAAAATTTTACTTTTTTTTCTTATGAAAAGTAGAATAAACCAAACAAGTTGGTCACATATTTCGACCTATACTTGTCAACAAAGGTTTACAAAGTCCTCTAAAAAGTCAGGATATTTAGTAAAGAGATCATGAAATATTTTCTAGAAAACAAACAAACAAAAAACGAAGAGGGATTTAGTAATGTTAGGATGTAGTTTTCTGCTAATGACTTTATTTTCTTCTTCTTCCTGTTTAGGCAGTAACATGCGAACTCTGACCACATCACTGGTGTGAAATTGCTGATTAACCTTTTGACTCTGACAATTGGGACTTCTCTCAACACCAACTGGTAATGCAAAAGACCATTAGTAGTTAATATTGGGACATCCCAGCTCCAGATGTCAAAAGGTTAATGAAAAATCAAGTATCTTGCTTTTACTGGGGAACTTGGAAACCTTCCCCCCCAAACATTTCATTTTTTGTGATAAATAAGCCAGATTGCTTGAGCTGAGAAAGACGGGTGTTTTGCTAATGTGTACAGCTGTTAATTGAAAAAGATTTTGTTATGCTTGTTCTTCTGGACGTAGATAAAAGAGAGATTTGCTGGCGAACTTAGTTGGTCTTGAACACCCCTTTGTCCAAATACACTACTTAATAATAATGCTTTGTTCTTTCTGTAACAGCCATGGAGGGATTTTGAGTGGAATACTCATTTTCTTTAAGTCATATCTGCCAGTAATCATTCCTGGCTTAAGACCAGCTGCCATTTACGTGTTTTATGAAAATATAACACCAGTTTTACACTCAAAACTATTCTCTTTTTAGGTAAAAGCTTCAGCACAAGCTGGTTCCCCATATCTACCATAAATGCTATTTATCACAGATTTTGGTCTTTAAAACAGAAAGCTAATGTTAAAATATTTTGATTACCCTTTCCTTACCGCTATCATTCACAAACCATCTTTTCTAATTATGGTATTAGGACATTTACATAACCGGGAAAAGGGCCCTTTAACTACATTTCTATTATGTTTGGCACTTCTTTGAAAGGATATTATATTCATGTGCATTAGAGATTGCTTATAAAAGATCAAGACAATAATAGCAGATCAGACGATAAAGGTTCCCTTTTCTCCTCCCAGACAGGCTGTCTCTGACAGAAGAATACAGTTCATCAAAAGTGTCTGCAGGTTGTCAAACTCAGTGAGATTTGGGGACACTCAGAGGCTGTCATGGCCAACAAGAAGATTTTCTGTAGGGTTCTGCCATCATTCACCCTCAGGAAATAATCACTCACTACATTCTGCGTGCTCTCATGATAGAGCTCTATTTGAGAGAAAAGAGCCATTTTATCAAAGGACAATATATCCCTTCTCTTGGTCCATGCAGCTTCCATTATCAGACCATAATAAATCATATTTATGTTCTCAGTTAATAAGACTGATTACAATGCAGGTTACAGGCATGGGAAAAGCAAAGCAGGTGAAAAGATGTTTTAATGAAAATATGATAAGCAAACAGCTTCTTGTGAACATTTCAGGCTGTTATTTGTAATGATCACAGGCAATTTTTGATACATCTTCTTTAGCAATGGTTTAAGCTGCATAAATTGGCTTGCCACTTTATAAGTTGAAATAGGAAGAATCCCAGTGTCCTTCTTATGTTGTCTAGAATCATTATATATATTATAAGCATAAAATGAGTTTAATGTATGTGCTTTGAAAAGAAGGGGAAAACAGAAAATCAGGGAAGACTGATTTTAATGCTGCTCAGAATGATTTTGAAATTTTCTACTCATCTTTGTTACTAACTGTGCATTTTCCATGAAATTTAGGAATGACATGTACTGCTTTCATCTCCTTAAAATTAATATACTGCGCTCTCTGTTTTTCTCAGTTTCTTCAAAGTTCTTTTTAGAGCACTATGCAAAGAAAGAGAAAGAAATTCTCCACTCTGTGTGAACACATCTGCTATTAATGCTGAGGGGAGTTAAGTGTCCGCTTCTACAGGAGAATTCACCCCAGTGTTCTATACTGAAAGGTACCCTGTTAAAACAGTGCAAGCATGTTTAACTCTGGCACATGTGATGCATTCAACGGCCAACTTCCATAGAATTTTTTTAAGTGATTAAGGCTTTTTTTTGTTAGGACAAACATTCTGACATGATTTCAGCATATAAATGTATGAAGGGAAGTGGCTGATGTACTGTCTTTCTTACTCTCTTCTTTTGAAAAGACTTATTTTGTTATTATGTTAAGCATTGTACTTTCAGGATGAAGTTAGAATTTTAAGGAATAATTTTGTCCTGCTGATACATAATTTTGACCAAGTCTGAAATTTTACAGTGCTTGCAGAATGGTGGCGACAAAGACTTCTTAGTGTTGGGTGTCTGTGGGACCTATTCTAGTCTGTTATTTCCCTAAAATCACTCTTCAGTAAATTTTAAAGCTTTGTATTTGGCTTGGTCCTGGAGACTGACCACGAAATTCCCTTAACACTTTCAGGACACTTCAAAAGAGCAGTGCCCACATAAGAAACAGCAAACTGCTCTTCAGAGGCAATATCCTGATATGACAACAGATGTAGATAATGTACTTCATGATGGAACTGCTTGATACAGAGAGAAACATGTTGTAACTGCCTTCACCATGAAAGGGGTTTAAAAATGCTGCCTGCCAACTCCACAAAAACCAGAGCTGCTATTTCGGTTAAAGGCCAGTGGATTGTATTTTTCACGTCAGTTTTCACTAACCTCAAACATCACTGTTATGACAGACTGTCATCCAACCAAACCAGCACTCTGGTGCCATTCAAGCAAGCAGGAAGAAAGCAAACACAAGGAAACTTAAAAGTCCAATTAGTAAGTGGAGGGTGCATGTGAGTGAACTACTTTTGTGTAACAATACTGATTACTGAAAATGAAACACTTAAAAGAAAATAAACAAAAAGCAGTGCTTTCTGAGCCAGTAGTGTTTTCTTGGCTGGCAATTTCTCTTTGTTCTGTTTCATGACACCAGGCTCAATGGTTGAAGGGGTGTTCTGGGCCAGATGTCAATCACAATGTCTGACATAAACAAAAATAGCTAAAAAGGCATGCCAGCATCTTCCTTTTGTTTTCCCATTAGCTCCATTTTTCTTTTCATAGGCTGACAAAAAATTACTGCCTCCAAGTGAATTCAGTAATGTCACTATATATCTAATATCTAGGAGACCTTTTGTTTTAGCTTTACTGGGCTTAACCACAAAAGACACTTGACATTGACAAAGAATCTGTCAAACATACAATGATCAGTGCAATGAAACCTCTCATGACAGAAGGGCACTATTCTGCCTTCCCCTTGCCTCCAGCAGCAGCCTGTCTGAGCAAAATATGCTGGAGCACATGTAGCAGCTGAACCATTACAGAGCAGGCCAGAAGCTGAGATGTGTCTTGTTTAAATTGTCATAGCATATTAGTATAATTAAAACCGCCAAAAGAGTAGAAAAGATAGATGGAAATGTTACATTACTTGTTTCTAGAGATTAACCTCCAGCCAGAACTGAAATAAAGAGACACGTTTTGGATTTCTTAGAGCCCTGATAAGGAAGAAAACAAGCCTGAGAGTACGTCTCTGGAAGTGTGAGACATGAAGTCATAGTTCCTATATTTACCCAAAAAAAGCAGAAATAGTGTTCAGACAGACACTGTTTCCTCTGTGATTACAGCTCCCATTGTGGCTGTGCCCCGCAAAGCAGTTGTATCATCTCTCAGCTAACTCCTTTCCACTCTCCTTTGCCTTTGTGCCCACAGGGTCTTGACAACCCTTGGGCCTGCTGATGAGCTGGTGTCACCACTCTCCACCCCTCCCCATCTGTGTGGTGCTCCAGGTGCCCAGCCCTGAAGCAGCGCCCCGTGTCCCGGCTGGTGGCTGCAGAGGCCGTGCCCATCGGCTGTGGTCAGGAAGTCATCCTGCACAGGTTTCATCCCCTGGGCATGCTGGTGCCTGAGGAAGGGAAACAAACACCTACTGGTAGACCAGCCCTAAGACTGCTCTAGAATCAAGCTTCCTTGTGCACAAGAGAGCCAGATAGGGAGCAGGGAAGATTTAGATTGCTTCACCTAAGCTGTTTCTGCTTCACATTGCAGAGGAAGATGTTTGAACAATGGCTTCAGTTTGACCTTTCAAATGCCAAGCTCTGTGCTTGTTTCTGTGTTGAGTGTATAGATAAAAACATATGGCTTTCTAAAACTGACCCTGAAAATTATGTTCTCTTCATCGATGAGATGTTTTACTTACCATGCATTGTTACCTTTCATAACTACTCAGGACAAACTTATGACCCAAATTTATAATTATGCTCTGAATTATATCTGGTGGTGAGAAAGTGGTGTAAAACCTTCCATGTATCTGTTCAAATGTAGAGGTTGGAACCTAATTTATCCAGAAGCTGGGGAGGACCTGAACTGGCTCTAGCAGTTCTGAAAGACCGAAAAAGCAACAGAACTTTCCTCTTAACAAAACTGGTACATTCAAGGAGAAGCTGCAGGAATCAGGTAGGTCTCATGTTCGTTTCTTATGGTATTAATGAACTTCACAGCCTTGCCCCATTTGCTGATTTGCTTTAAGTAGAGACATTCAATGTGAGCCTTAAATTTTAAGTTTTCCCATATTTCCTGTATTTCCTAAATTTAAATCTGTTAATGACTTCTCCATATAGGGTTTCTCTTAAATTTCTGTAAGGGCCCATAAATGTGGATAACTTGTAAAAAACCATGTTATCTGCATTTAGCGTTGGCTTTTGGAACCCTCACCGCCAAGTCACCTCACCACTGCATCTCACCTCACATGCATTTCTGTGTAGTGCCAGGAGAAGAATAGAAAATAGCTATGAAGTAAAAGCAGATTCTGCTCTCATTAAAGGCAATGAAAACTATGCTTTTACTTCTACTTACTCATATAATAGCAGGGAAAAATGAAGTGGAAACAAGCACAACAAAACACCTCTGCCAGCTATCTACAAGCTCACCGAGGCTTCCACTAATGAGGCGCTCTGGCATTTTGAGAAAGACAGGTTCTTCCAGAAACGGAAAAAATATGCCAAGTTCTTCCTTCGGCTCTGAAAGGCTAGTGAAAGAATAACAAATTGTATTTCAAAAACGGGATGGCAGTCAAACTTTTAATGCTGTCTGTGCTATTAAATACCTACAGATGCCCCTGTAGTTTCCTGTCAATTAAATGCTTTTACGTATGTTTGGCAGATTATTAAATATTGATTCTTATATACCTTACCTAATTATCCACTGTATTTACAGGTTCATCTAAGGTTCATCATGACCATAACATTCTTGAGAAAGTTAATAATTTCAAATCACAATAACAGAGTAATTTCCAGGTCAGATTTTCTAGAAGACAACTCAATACCATGGACAATAACATAGTCTATTAAACAGAACAGTACAGTTTGTGGAAAAGATAATAGTCCAGATCATGAGATAGCACCAGATTTCACATTATGATTTCCAGATGTCTTTAGGAGCTTAATGCATACAGCATTGGTTCAAGACTAATCTGCATGGCAGAAAGGCAAGTTGTTCCAATTTTCTCCTCACTGAGGCTGTGTGGAAAAACTGCAGAGGATAGGCTGGGGTAGTTTGGCCATGCTTTAGTATGAATATTCACCTCATTGCCAACTGCTCCTGGAGTGCACAGTGGTATGTTGTGCAGAACAGGTTTGGACAGCACTGTGCCTGGGTCTTTCTGATAGGTGCCATCAGAGCTGGCTCTACACGTTGGCCAAGCAGGCAACTATTTAGGGCAGCAAAGCAATTGTGGCTTCATCTGTGCTTCCAGAGTGCTGGAGAAGCAGGAGGCCATTTTGCTGCTAGTTTGGAGAGAGGAGTTTGCCTGAACAACAGGGGAAAGTCCCACCTAGGGATGACCACATTCTCATCCAGTTGCAGAAAGCTGGCAAATCTGCCCCTGACCATCAGCTTCCCACCTCAGCAGCCCTTTCCCTGCGTGCTTGCCTCCACATGGACAGAACAGGCCTCCCTGTCCTGGCCCCAGCCCTAACCATTGGAAGCACCAATGTTCCCTTTTGCTTACAGCGCTGTAAAGACCTGAGTTCCAGCAGCCTGTCACAACTGTCAGGCTTCTGTGACAACCTGGTAGTATTCTTCTAAGCAGTGTGTGTTGATTCACTGGAGAGAGAGAGAGGGTGGACTTTGCCAAACTGTCCTTTACTCAAAGATCCTGGAGTGAGTGTCTTCACAACAGGAAGGCAGCTTCCCTGCTCTTTCTAGGGTGCAGCTTTGGAAGTTCCCCGAATGTCCACTGTAAGACAATGTATTGCATCAGTTCCCTGAACCAGGGACTTGGTCAAGTCCACAGTATAGCAGTGTTGAGTGAGACATGAAATTCTCCCTCCTGGCAGCCTGGGGGAATTATAGCACTTTACAGGGCAGCCCACTATCCTGCTGTGCCCAGAGGGGCCACAGATGTCCAGGTGTTTCTGGTGGATCTGTATGTGTCCATAAACATAGAACAGTATTTTCGCTGTTACATTCCTGCTGGAGAGTACTTTACTGGTACAGGTAGGTGGGCTGGATAACAATACAAGGATCTGCCAGGACATTGAACCAAGCCTGTCTGAGTTCAAGAAGTGTTCGGACAACGCTCTCAGGCACATGGTGTGATTCTTGGGGTGTCCTGTGTAGAAAGAAGTTGGACACAATGATTCTCATGGATCTGTTCCAACTCAGCATATTCTATGATTCTATGATTTGCTTTTCAATTTCAGCACTGTCAGGCTGGGAAGTGAAAAAGAGCTCTGCAAACAGAACAAGCATGTGATGTTACACTGCAGTGCAAAAAAAAAAAAAAAAGGCTTAAGGCTACTTTTTCTCCATGGAAATCTGCTCAAAAACTGTCAGTTTGGGACTTCATAAGTTCCTCTCTGGAGTCAAAAATTCAGCATAAGTGCACAAAAGAGTGTGAGGAAAGAGCATTTTGGCTCCTTCAATGCTGTGCACAAAACCTCTCAGGGTTTCAGTGAGGATTTCAGCATCTCTTGCAGTCTTCAAATGTTTTGCTGTGCAAGGATGTGCTTATACATAATTTTGTAATTGAAATGGCATGTTTACTGTTCTATTTCATGCTTGATTGTGTTTTTTAAACACCTTTACTCATGCTGTTAGAAGTGGGATTATAATTAAAATGTCCTGTTGAACACCTTGTTCAGTTCAATGAAGGCATAATAGAAGTATAAATACTTGTTCTCATTGACTCTGTGATGTCAGCAAAACAAACACAGTAAATCACAGATGATCACAGAATATTCTGAGTTGGAAGGGACCCACAAGGATCTTTGAGTCCTGCTCTTTGAATGGCTCATACAGGGATCAAACCCACAACCTTGATGTCATGCTCTAACCAACTGAGCTAATCTCAAGGTCAAATGTCATAAAACAAATCTCTTTTTTGCCAAAGCATCCATGGGATTCGTGGGAAGAGGAAACAGAATCTGTGACTGGGCAAAGAGGGGACCTCTCCTTTGGTAAAAGGAAATATTTTGAGATGTTATCTGTGATACAAATGTGTTAACTAAGGCATGGAATGATTGATTGATTGATTGATTGATTTAGCCAGTTATGAGAAAAAAATCAGAGTCGAATTTATTCCTTTACTCACAGTCCCATGGTCTAGAGACTAGGCAGTACTTTTTCCTACACTAGCCATTAAGGAATGCTGAGTCTGTTTGTGAAGTGTTAAGGAGTAACTTATATTTCTTATTATTCCCATTTTCTTAAAATCTGTACAGATACCCAGACTTCATTTCTTTATGGTGGAGTAGAACAAAGTCCAAATGTTTCTAAGTCACTGTCTAGTGGTTTCAGAACTTTTGCATAGCAATAGTAATTTCATTTTTTTCATGTTTTCTCTTGTAGTCTAAGTTACCACTGATGATGAAATGTCAAACCATTCTGGCAGGCACTTGTTCAGTCTTAAGGAGCTTTAAATTACTTCACAGCTTGAGATTCCAGGTAAGTAGGGATGTTCCAAGATTTAGCCTAATTGATGCTTCTTGGGCAATTTACTCAGATACCTTGGCTCAGTTTCCTCCTCTGAAAATTGGGGAGAAGAATGTCTGTGTTCCTTGTGCTCTTTGATGTAATAGTATTTTTAATATATTAAATACTAGGCTCTACACTGCACAAAACCCACGAGGTTTTAGGTTTATGTCCTTTCACTGGCTGAAAGAGGGCTCTCAAAACCAATCCCAGGATGTGTAATACTTCTGTGCCAGAGCAAGACTTGCCAGTCAATAGCTGCCTTACAGGGAAAGCCCACATGATCTTTATGAAGCAGGCAAATAAGCAGACCCAAAGGGTGTGGAAACTGCCTTCTGTGCCCAGTTTCAGTTCCAACTACTTCAAGCTCAGCAGAAATTGGGCAGGCAAATGGTTCACAAGATTTGGTCTTCTGAATGAAAGCAGTGAGTAAGTGGCAAAGTAGGAGGGTTTTTTCCCTGGGATAAGAGAGGCAGATGGGTACATAGGGCAGTCCAGCCCAAACCAGAGAAAGATTCAGAAGCAGGAATACGGCTACAGAACATGCAGGACAAACTGGACAAGAACGTTGTCAAGTGGGATTGCAACAAAACTTAGTGTATTTCTTTGAATGTCTCATTATATGTACAGGTGCAGCTCTACACACCCACACACGCTGCATTTATTTCAGTGTGATCATATAAATACCTGCAGGTGCGACACTGAAGAGATACCCATGCTGAGGCATGAATATGGAGTTCCACATCTGTATTTACTGCCTGGTTTGCACAATGAGCTAGTGCAGTCAGTGGGTTCTCTTTCCACCTCCCACATGCACTTTAGAACTAAAACTGAAGAAAATTCCATTCTGGTAACTACATTTAACAGGAAGTCATGGCATAGAACTAAAATATGTGATGGGGAAGGTGTATGAAACAGTCATCATTACTTCTCTTTGTTGCACAAGTATATAAAAAATTAGGAAGAAACTAATTTCAGATAAAAACGGCCACATCAGTTAAATGTGTGGTAATAAATCCACAAAGTTGGAATCTAATGTGTCTTTTGAGGCACCTAAAACTTCAGTTGGCCTTCAGTACAGTGACTGGTTTCTCTCTTCTGGCACACAGAGAGATGGTTCCCTGTCTATAATACTGTCAGATAGTCCATAACACATGGGGTGCAAATCGTGGCTGCTGCAGAAACCATGGTTGGGCATTCACCAACTTGCTTACACATAAAAAAGTCTCAGTCATGGCATTGCACTCATGCAGCTGGTTTCATTAAACAATAATCTGATGCTAACTACTTGACTACAAATGCCCTCCTCCCAGTGTCAAAAATGTAAAACAGCTAAAGGATATAAACTGGGGGCAACATTTTGCATGTAATTGCTGCCTGCAGAGAATCAAGGTTGTCAAAGTTTCTTACTTTTTATGAGGCCTTTATTGATAACTTTCGTTTCCCAAAGAGAAAAATAAACCTACCAAAGTTCCTTTGAACATTTCAGCAGAATTTCGTGGCATTAGCTGTGAAAGTAATGGTGTGACATTCCTAGTAAGGATGTATAGGAACTGTGTTCTAGGAGTCCATGCTGCTTACTTTGTGGAAACTATCTCAGATGCTTTGGGATTATTTAGCAGTAACTTCTTTTTACACCATGATTTCACAGGGATTTTCTCTGTTATCTTCTCATCAGCATATTCCTTTGAAGACCTAGGGAGAAAATGTTGCACTTGAGTATTCAGTGAAACCTGGTTTGCATCTCCATCTAGCTAAAGACAGAGAATCAGTTCTCCTGCAACACAAAATGTGGAGGAACCATAGTGCCCAAAATTCAGAAAAATTTTAGATAGTGTTGTCCAGGCAAAGGAATAATGAGAATATGGTCAATGGCTGCCATGCATGGTTCACAATAGTGAATGTACTCTGGGCAGTGACACAGAGAAAGGGACCAGAATCGGTTGGAACCGTGGAAGAAATAACACTGTGCTAAGAGTTTCACCCAGGCAAATTTACCTCCTTTGGAATTAGTCTGGGTATCTCTCCATGACACATTTGTTTTAGAATCACAGCATGTTGCAATTATTAGGCTCTGGCAGGCTCCTAGGTAGGAACTGTGTCCAAGAGCCTTTATTTCATCCGGTCCAATTGGGAAGAGCGTGGCAGTTTCTTTTCGTTGAGACTTTGCTATAACGATCTGAGCTTTAGTCACTGTGAGACTGGCCCTCTGCAAAGCATTCAGTTGGTGTTACAACCAGAGACAACTGAGCTCCAAAAGTGAGTGCAGACCTTGTCTACTTATTAAGTAAAGGGGCATGTGGAGAGCCCATTACTCAGTAATTGGTGCTAGCTGCCAGTTAGCATTCAGCAGGACTTCCAGCATTTGTATAGACTTTACAGCCCAGAATGGCCTGGGATTGTTCTTGCCTTATTTGCTGCCACTATAATCAGCTGATGGCTCTCTGCTTTGCAGAGCTACCAAAACCAGCTTGGTTGGACTGAAAGGCACCTGGAAGTACAGGATGTCCCCAAGGAATTCAGCCAGAGGGATATGCAAGTCTGAGAGATTTTGTGGCTAAGGCTGTATTCCAGTTTTATGGGCTTGCAGGTTTCTTCCCCTGCCATGGAAGAGGAAAATGATCAGCGGAACTTGTGGTAGATGATACAAATGCCTTCCTGATTGTGTAACGCCTTAAATAGGTCTTTAAAGATGTGACCCTCAAGTGTTGTGTGACTCTTCAGAGGAGATAAACAGAACTTCTGTATGGAGTCTGGAGAGACAGTGTGGGAAGTCTTTACAGAAAAGACTGTGTAGACATTTAGACAAAAATGTGGCTCTGTAGGGTACATGCCACTTGCAGCTTTGACCTGGGGAAACCGTTTATTCTCCGGGTCCCAAGTGCTGCTGTTACTCCCAAGGAGGCAGCTTGGTGGGGTTTTGGACAGGAGCACACAGACCCCCAGGCAGCCGCTCCACTGCTCAGGAGCAGGGTGGGCTCCACGTGTGCAGGTGGCAGAAAGAGGCTCTTCTCACATGGCTATCCCCTGCAACATTATATGTATATATTTTATTTACAGCATAGGCAGCATTATCCCTAGAGGCAGACTAGGCGGTTGAGTGCATGCAGTTAAGCTGCTCTCGCCAAGCAAGCGGGCTCTGCCAACACCTGCGAAGTTAAAACCTGTCTGCGCTGCAGGTGAGAAAGCAAATAACGCAGGGTGCGGCCACGGGAGTGACGCCCGTCAGTGCGGCTGGCGCAGCCACGTCCGCTGCCCCCGTGGCGGCGGCCCAAGGCCCCGGGACCCGGGCAGAGCCCCCCGAGCCCCGCGGGCCCTCACGGCCCATGGCGGCTCCCGCCCGGCCCCGCCGGCAGCGGCCCCGCGCCAGGCGCTGTTCGCCGCAGCGCCCGCCAGGTGGCGCCCTTGATCGCCGAGTGGCGGGAGGGCGGGCGGGCCCGAGAAACGCATCCTGCCAGCCCCCCACCCCCCGCCCTTTAATTTCGGAAGCATTATAACTAAAGTGTTTTCAGCTTATTATTATGCATGAGTAAAAATTCCATGAATGTGTAACATTTTTCGCCTGTATTTCCCTCTTTTATAACATCATTTAAATTCCTCATTAATAATTTAGCAGCGTTCTGGATTTTAATCACTTTTCTCATCCCGGCGGTCTCTATCCGAGGCAGTGCTCTCCTCCTCACCTGAAGGTGACAGGGAGGCAGGGCCGGGCTAGGGACACCCGCCCCAGCGCCCTGCCCTGCTGCAGAATATTTCCTTCATCAATTAAAAATCCAAAGCTTACCAAACCCAAACTTGAGCAGGTCACCATTGGTAAAAACTAAATTTTTCTTTGTTTGTGATTTGGTTTTTTTTTTTTTGCATCTGAGTTTAATTACGGGGGTATTTGTTTGATAGTTTGTTACTGTAAATAAAAGAGATAAAAGCAGCCCTTCACTTGAGCAGCTCCAGAGCTGTGAAATATGTACCTAATTAAAACTATTGGTGTAAGAGGCTAATAAAGTACATGTGCCTACTAGATGTTTTATTCTAATGAATCTCAGCTAACTTGCTCTGAGTGATGTATTTCAGTGTTGGTAGTAAGGGCTGAATAATTATGGAATTTATCATGAGGTGCTCATGAAGGACCACGAGGGTCTGGGAGGGAGAGGGGAGTGAAGGGCCCCCAGCCATGGTTGGGTGTGGGAGGAGCAGAGCCCCGGCTCCCCCAGGCACAGGGATGCCAGGGCACAGCCTGCGACCTCCACAGCGGGCAGGGACCCCTGGGCCAGCCCCATGGGCTGCAGACATTCAGGCCTGGGGCAGCCTGGAGGGTCTGCATGAGGTGTGTGTGTGCGGAGGGGAGTGCTCCCATTGCCCCGACAGAGAGCCTGGGGCCGGGGTGCTCCTTCCCACTCAGATCCTCACCCCCTGATTTCCCCATTGTTTTTGCCTGGCATGGGTGAGGAGCGGGCCACAGCATGCACTCCTCAGACTCCCAAACCCAGTGCAGATGGGTTGTCTAAAGCATTTCAGATGGAGTTTTGGTCTTGCGCCAGCAGCTAATCAAAGTCTTAATCCTGGAGAATAAAAAGGCCGGGCTTTCCAAGCTTCCTCCAGCTGGTTTCTGCCAGGGATGTGGATGGCCAGCACTCCTGAAAACCCTTGTGCAATGGGTGCTCCCAGCACCATTTGCATGCGGGTTGGGCAGTGGGGCTGGTGTATGGGTTTGTTACCTGACCCAGCTGTAGGGGCCAGCTTTATATGGCCTACAGACAAACACCCTCAAATCCATCTGGGTCTGACCTGTAGTGAAGAGAAGTCAGGCAGGTGAAAAAGTGTGCATCGAGAACCCCTGCCTGAGACATGAGCTTTGCCCTTTGGAGCAGTACAGGCTTGTCAGGAGAAAGGGTACGTTCTGAGAAGCTGGGTAATAATAAAGGGGCTGGTTAAGCAGAGGAAAGGCCTTCAGGGCAGCGTGTATTCTTATTGCT